TGACTCGTTTCAGCTCGTCATTTGCGGAGACTTTTGTCAGCTTCCTCCAGTGCCAGAGCAAAGTTATCAGCACAAACAAGTTTCCACCTTTGCATTCCAGGCAGAGTCGTGGGATCGATGTATGGGCAAACCGATATTGTTAACGCATGTTTTCCGTCAGCGCGATCGAGGTTCGTATTATCACTGATCCAATATTCATTCATTCACTCTATCTTGAGCTCCATCATAGAATTCGTCGACATTCTCTCCGCTATGAGAGTCGGCAAACTCTCTAGTGAACATATCAGAAAACTCGCCTCACTGTCACGTCCCTTGAACTTCACTGATGGTATTGAGCCGTGTTGTCTGTATGTCCTCTCATTACATTTTTGATTCGCGAGAGTTCAAAAAGGTGTTCTAGATTTGCTACCAAAATGGAGGTGCAAGCTCATAATTCTGAACGACTGGACTCGCTTCCTGGACATTCCTTCACGTATAGGAGTATGGATTACCGTGGAATGGACGTTTATGGTAGCCAATTAAAACTCAAGGATGCTGTGAAACTGCTGGACGATGAAGTGGTGCTAGAACGCATTACTCTCAAGGTCATAAGCAGTTTAACATTGAGTATGAACTCTTCAGTTTAATTTGGTTGTTGTAGGTCGGAGCGCAGGTTATGTTGATACAGGTAGAGCATCCAGCTTTTTCCGCACTCACCGAATCTCAAGCTTTCCGCCTTAGAATATCATCCAAGGCACTTTGGTCAATGGTTCTCTTGGTAAGGTCGTAGATTTCATGACCTCACACGAAGCCCTAGCGGCAAAGATCAAAATTGTTGAAAACCACCGTCAACAACTCAACGTCAATGGGTTGCAGGATAAGGTTACGGCACCTGAAAGCCAACCCAGAGCTGAAGCCACCGGGCTAGAGTTTAAGCAGATAAACGAGGGCGTGAAGTTTGGCAATAGTGACAAATGGCCTTTAGTCGAGTTCGCCGGAGGGATTCTGCTACTGTGTGCCCCGACAAGTTTCACTGTTGAAGGTTTCATGGGAAACGAGGAAGCCAAGCGGGTTCAAGTTCCGCTGATTCTAGCTTGGGGACTGTCCATGCACAAGTCGCAAGGGCAAACAATGGAGAGGGTGAAGGTTGATCTGGGGAGGGTTTTCGAAAAAGGTCAAGGTGACGCACAGCTACTTTTTTATTCCCTCGAATTGCAAGTCTGATTTCGATCGTCTTTAGCGTACGTCGCCATCTCTCGAGCCACTTCATTAGAAGGTCTGCAAATCGTGAATTTCAATCCTACAAAGTACGTTTCCCTCGTATCTCGCTACCCTGAGTAAATGTTGAATTAGATGATTTTCGCAGGATCGAAGCACACCCTCGTGTCTTGGCTTGGCAAGACGAGTGGATGCCTCAAATGAGGACTGCTACCGCACCCCTCACTAACAGCGCCGGCCACGCAGGTCCTTCGACGCTAGTGCGGGGAACTAGATTACCCAGCCCCCAATTAATCTCCCGTCCCACAGCCCGGCCTATCCAACGAGAACCCGAATCCGAGTGGGAGGAGATGGACACAGATGACTCCATCTCTCATTACTTTGACAGTCTTCCAAATTGATCGCCGCCATGAGCCTCTAGTCTGCTGTAGCATCTTTCTTGTAGTTCTGTGCATCTCTCGCTATGTATCTGTTTTCCGTTATATCTTATCGTCGCTTGCATCGCTTTGCTTTAATAACCTTTTTTTCTGTCACAAGCAAAAGGATTTGTACTACGTAGATAGAAACTAAACTACTATATCATCACTGTCGGTACAAAATAGTTACAACTGATCTGCTCAATGCATTAGAAGTAATACACGAAGAGGCAAAGGATTAGATACTGTTTGTCCAGTCATTTGGATAGGAAGTAGAAGAGTGCTTCATACATGGGTAACAGGGTAACAACCAGATACAAGACGCGGAAACCGTTCACAGAAAAAGAAAAAAAAACCATAAGGGGTATCAAATTCGGATATCTTCTTAAGAATACAAGAAAAAAAAGCTAGGAATGCTGTGGGGGTCGACTGCCATACAACGTGAATCATGAATGAAATAAAATAGAAAAAGATCAATGTCTATCCAGAACACCAAACACCCAACAGCCTCAGAGTTTGCTCATGTAGATGTCGCCGTTTCCTGCAGTTCTGGCGTCTCTGACACTATGGACTTTACCGGCTCTCCCGACTCAGACTCGCCAATGGAGGGCAACGTAGGTGACCGTGGGTCAGCGGAAGAAGTTCGAGTGAGACTCTCTCCGTTGTATGACGCAGATTCATCTGTTTCAAACACCGACGAAGATACGGAGGGTGAAGGAGGTGTCGAATCGCCGCCTCGTGGCCGAGGTGGTAATGGCGGGGGACCCATATCTGTTCGCTCCTTCGTTGGCGACGACGGACCTCGAGCGGAAGGGTGTATACTGCTCGCGGGCCTCGGAGGAAGTTTTGGTGTAAAGTCTTCTGACGCTGATAAAGCGGCAGTATTGAGAGCGGAAGGGATAGAGACGATCTTAGTCGTCTTGGATCCGTACGAATACACGGGGGTTGGTTCACCAGGGGGTGGAGCAGGTAAAGGATGGGGGCTTGGGGCATTCGGGTTCGTAGCTGTACTCGGATCGTCAGAGAACAAGATGTGTGCATTGTTAATGAGATCTTCCATGAGCGTATCATTCCATGTTTGCAAGCTGAGTAGGTCGCCTGCTTTCGGAATCTCATCCTCGCCGAATATTACACCTGCAAAGACAATCGCGAGATTCTTCGAGTCCATTTTGTTCCTTTCGTAGTTGGCTGCCACGCGTGCAAGATGCTCGAGGAGGACTTTGAGGGTAGCGTAGTGAACAGCGGGTAATCGTCTCATTTTCGAACGTAGCAGTGCAAAACCTTTGGATTGATGTTCCGCTATGGAAGAATCAATCAGCCTATGCAACTTTTCGATTCGGCGTGCTCACCAATATCCTCTGTGTGTTGTATGCGGTCTTGTAATGAGAATCTAAACACCGGTTCAGGTAATTCCCGGAGATAGAGCTAAGAGTTCATGTCAGCGCGTTCCTGGCATTCTAAGAAGAATAAATCCACCTTGATCAGCGAGGCGACGGCATATATGTCATCTTTAGGCCTAAACTCAAACTTGGCTTCATCCTTCTCATACTCGTGCTGTAACGTCTGCACGATGGCGTGCCTCCCTGAAACCCTATATATTCCCTCCGCATCCAATCCCCGCTTGTCTATCTCCGCGATACACACCCGGACAATCTTCGGAACCTCATCTTCTGGAAGGTTCTTCGTCGTGGCGTAATCTAGCAAGCTGAAGCCAAAGACCAAGTCATGACATTCTCCAACTTGGCCGTGATGGTATAGGATAGGATCGGGTATGGCAGAGGCTAAAGAACGAGGGATGTGAGACGCGAATCTATTCTTGTCCTTTTCTGGTGAGATCTTATTGACGACAGAACGGGCGTGAGTCGAAAGCTGAGTTTGAGTAGTCGTAGTAGCGGTCATATTGTCGGTATATCTTTCTAGTGCAGTTTTGACGGCTGTTGAACATTCCTCGACAAACGTGGAAAGACTCTGTTTCAGAAATAATTACATCATTAGTCTATTAGGGAAATGTGAAAGACTCACGTTGTAGCCACTCTCCAGAATCTTGGTCCGTCTCAGCCTTAACGTTTCTAGCCAATACACAGCCTTTCGATACTCCTTATCAGCCTCATCAAGCTCGCGCTTAGCCCGAACTGTTCGCAAGGCATTGTTCTCCCTTCCGCCACCAAGCGATTCCTTAACAGTTCCACTCTTGTCTAAAAAGCCCATGAGCGTATTGAGCTGCTTCTTGCCTTGCTGGGCGAGATCGGCGAACGCAGTATTGGAGGAGGGGGAACGATTTCGGCCGCTTGGAGCGCTTCCTGACGGCCGTCTATCGAGAGCTCGTAGTGGCTGAGGAGAGGTGACAGTAGGCCGCGTCATACTTGAGGATTTAGAGAGCCCTTGGAAATCTGCAGTTGGTACAGTGGGCGAAGTTGGAGGAGCTGCTGCTGCTGCTCGCTTAGATTCCTACAGCCAGCCAATTCGTTGGAAGAGAACTTTGGGGTATGAAAAGAGTAAGTTCTCACCTCCACCTCTGCAAACTTTTTGGTGTATCGCGACTTCAACTTGGGCAAAGTTACTTCGGCGTATTCATTGTACGCGGAGGTTGATTCTTTGAGATCTTCCTTGATTCGCTTTCTGATTCTCTCTTGAGTTTCCTAGGTTATGATGAGATATAAACGATCGGGAATGGGAAATAGCGAACCTTTAGTGACGAAAGCGGACTGATAATGTCTGAAGTCAAGGTATGGAGAAAGGCTTGTCTGGCTTGGGCCTCTGGAGAATGCAGGGATGAATAAAATTGGCAAAGAGAAGAATGGGAACTCACCTCGCTCGATGTTTTCTCTGATTTCTGACCAAGCCATGCGAGCGGTGCTCATGTCACTCCGATCATCGAGAAAAGAGTCGATAGACTTGAGCTTTTTGTACAGCTTCAACAAGGCATCCACACTGTATCCAGTTTAAGAGCATTCCGAGCTTTGGAGAAAAGTGCTCACTAGTTTTCTTCGATTCGTTTTCTGAAAAGTAATGAGACGGACACCGGAACAAGATAGCGCGAAAGTTGACAGACCTTTCACTGAAAAAGCTGAGATAAGAGTCGTTCATGAAACGCAGCTGAACGTCAAATAGAGGGATTGGGCCAGTGAGTGGACTTGGAGCGTCAGAGCTGATTGAATTTCGTGGAGGAGCAGGTTGGCCATCATGGTTGTTCTGCATCGTGAATTCAAAATCCTTAAGCGCCCTTTACATCACCCTTGGCCACAGGCGTCTAAACACACGTAAACAGTAGGTTTAGCTTTTCCAAGTCCCAAAAGCTTCTGAGCCATTACTTGGGATGAAGAGTAAAACAAAAATTAAAAAATTAAAAAATAATTATGCAATAAAGCGAAAACTGGAAACTTTAAATGGACACTGGGAGATTCGAACTCCCGACCTCACGCAATTCTCCATGCGAAGCGTGCGCGCTACCAACTGTGCCAAGTGCCCATCCCCAACGTGCCCCAACAGTAATTTCTGTTCAAATCAGATGTCTTGTCAAATCTTATCATTGTATCTTAATCTATATTGAGCGCTTAGCTTAATCATACAACCGCTCCCGAACTGTTTAAAGTCATTTTGCGGACTTGTTGACTTGCAGCTCCTCTTAACCACCACCATGAACATTGGATGGTCGGAGCTCTCTGCTTCGTCTCTCAATTCCCAGACCGTCTTTGACAAGATCAATTTGGTCGCACTAATTGACAAGAGTCCAAGCAGAACGGCGTAAGTACTTCTTTTTGTATTGAAAAATTTCCAACTCATCAATTACAGTATCTTTACAAGCACCCTTATCATTCCTCTATACTTCGCCGCCGCTTCCGTCCTTGTTTTTTTGGTTCACATCATAGCAGACACCTCATCTGCTCGAAAACTGTTCCGTCGGCAGCAAAGCATCAACGCAGAGGAGCCTGTATGGAATTATGCTCAACCAGAGAACTTAGTGCAGGAAGTCAAGATCCATGTCGCAGAACATGGTGGACCTGTTATTTACATGTACATGATATTCAGACTACTAGGTTCTCTGACTCTACTCGGCCTTTCCATAACTTCTTTAGTCTTCGACGAAATTGAACGAGTCGGAACCCAAGAAGAACTCGGCGGGGCGGAAGACACCTTTGAAACTTTGGGAAAGTGGGGCAAAAAACATCCGAAGAACAAATACGGCACTCATTTTTCCAAACGAGAATGGCTGGAGGCTGCTATGTCCCTTACCTTTGTACGTAACCACCGCGCTCCCAGACTTCGTCCAGTAAACTTACCTACCTTTCCCGTAGCTCTATACATCCCTTCTCGCTCTCATATCGGTCACCGCGAAGCTTAGGTGGAGCAAAGTAGTTATCCGACACGTCAATACGGTCCTCCTTGCTGCGCTTGGCGTATACTGTTATCGCGATGTGTACCCTTTGGTCACGTTCACCCTCAGACCCCAAGACCTTTCTGAGGGTTCTATTCTATGGGCAAAGGTTGCCGTCCTCACATTCACCGCAATGATTGTTCCTCTTGTCATTCCCCGGCAGTATGTTCCAGTTGATCCGAAGGTGATATCTCGCGTTTACGACATCGCTATTTGTAGTACTAGTGTACTGATTTTTATCACGCTCCAACAGAATCCTTCTCCGAGACCCAACCCAGAGCAGACCGCATCAATCTTCTCCTTGATTATCTACAGCTTCCTAGACCCACTAGTATCTGCTGCGTACCGTGTCACGCATTTAGACTATGGCAAACTACCGCCTCTCAATGATAACGATGCTGCTAAACACCTCAAAGATCTGAGTTTCAAGGTGAGGTGCACGCAGATTTTCCGAACTCGACGATACTTACTACACAACGGCTTTCCCAGCGTTTGGACCTATTTTCTGGTGCTCCAAAGCGACATTTATTCTTCGGTCTGATGCGTATATTCCGTAGAGAATACATGCAGCTCGCTGCAATGATCTTGCTACATGTCTTTGCGAATTTTGCAGCTCCCATTGGTCTCAATGGGCTTCTGCGGTATCTTGAATCTGGAGGTGAAGATAATGTCGTTCGCCCTTGGTTTTGGATCCTCTGGCTTTTCCTGGGGCCCGTCGGTGGAACTCTTGCAATACAATGGTACATTTTCATCGCGGTAAGTGTTTTGTTGCAGTCACTCTGAATTCACATGTGTTGAATCTCCATCGTTCAGACTCGGACATTAGTCCGCGGTCAGGCGATTATTACCCAACTGGTCTTTGAGCACTCCTTGCGTATACGGGTCAAGGCTGAGACTGCTGACTCTACCTCTACGACATCTTCTCCAGAGACTCTGACTCCCGACTCTGATTCTACCCGCGAAGGTACCGTCGATGGTTCCGACACTCTACAGTCTGTCAGTGTCAGCCCGACAGAAGCCGAATCTTCTACCATGCATTCCAGCTCTCCATCTATCTCCTCTACGAGCAAAGCAGCCGGTAAGGACAGTAAAAAGGATAAGAAATCCAAGGATAACGAACAAGACTCGGGCGAATCTTCCGCCAGTAATCTCATTGGCAAAATCAACAATCTCGTCACCACGGACTTGGACAACATTGTCGATGGAAGGGATTTTCTTTTTGTTGTCCTGTACATTCCCGTCCAGATTACATTGTGTATTATCTTCTTGTATATCATCCTGGGCTGGAGTTCGTTCGTGGGACTGGCTGTGATGGTACTCTCGTTCCCGCTACCGGGACTCATTGCCAAAGGGGTGCAGAATGCCCAGGAGAAGAGGCTGAAGAAGACGGATGCGAGAGTTCAATCTGTTAGTGAAGGTCCGTACGCCAGTACTCTTTCGTGATCTTCATTCGGCCGACTTTCATCCTGTGCAGCCATGAATGTTCTCCGGATGATCAAACTGTTTGGATGGGAAGGTAAGACGGAAGCCAAGATTGCCGCAAAGAGGGACGAGGAATTGGTTTGGATCAAACTTAGGCAGATTCTCGATATGATCAATGGGATCATCACGTACGCATTCTCAAATCGTAATGTCGGAGCCTTCTTTTGACAGCATCGGTCCTTTCAACACAGCTATATTATTCCGCTTTTAACTATGATCGCAACATTTGTTACCTAGTGCGTTCATCTATCGACTTCACCTTGGAAATTGACTGACGACTTGACTTTTTCAGTGTTCGTGATTATCTTTGCATTCTCAAGGATGTTCGGGTACTTAGTGTTTCTCTTTCAATCGCAGTCAGTTTTCATGAAGCAAACAATCAAAGCTTCAATCATATTCAGCTCCATGTCGGTCTTTGATATGTTGCGTGAACAAATGCGTATCATTTTTAGGTCCGTGAGCGAAACAATCTCCGCCAGAGTATCTCTGGACCGTGTTAACGACTTTGTGAAAAACGTGAGCAAGACCGTTTATACCAGACATGCGACTGTACTTATGTATGCGGCCATTATAGACGGAACTCCTGGATTCTTTCTCCGAAAAAGCAGGTGAAAATGAACTCTTTACCTCCGCCCATGCACCTTCCGATTCTCAAGAGATCGGATTCCGCAATGCCAATTTTGTCTGGTCTTCAGACGTGAATGGATCGCTTACACCTTCCAAGCGCAGATTCATGCTGAGGATCGAAGGTGAACTCTTGTTCAAAAAGAATTGCGTGAATTTGGTTATTGGTGAGACGGGCTCAGGCAAGACCTCCCTGTTGATGGCGTTACTCTGTAAGAACCCTTAATTGTTTCTCTTCCTCACCCAGACTGATGGCGGGCCGATATATACTAGCTGAGATGCATTTTGTGCCTTCTGGACCTGATTCGTGGTATAATCTTCCTCGAGGAGATGGTATTGCCTACGCTGCGCAAGAATCTTGGGTGCAGAATGAAACGATTCGGGCATGTTCCTTCCTACCAACGGTTCGATATGAGCCGAACTAATTGTAATGACAACTTTAGGACAACATCGTCTTTGGTTCGCCTTTCGATGAGGAACGGTACAAAAAGGTTATCCATCAATGTGGTCTGGAGCGAGATATCTCGTTATTCGAAGCCGGCGACGCCACGGAACTAGGCGACAAGGGTTTATCTATTAGCGGAGGGCAGAGAGCTCGTATTACCCTCGCCAGGGCTGTGTATTCCAGCGCGAAAATCATCTTGCTGGATGATGTGCTGGCCGCACTCGAGTAAGCCGCTCTCACGTCAGGTGATGGCTTCCAAAATAACCTTCTTTTCTGTAGTGTGCATACTTCAAAGTGGATAGTAGACAAACTCTTTTCCGGTGAGCTGATGCAAGACAGAACGATCATTCTGGTGGTAAGCTACTTGGCCGTAACTGTGTCGGAAAGCATGGTGTGAAAAGATAATTTAGACCCACAACATCGCCATCACTCGACCTATCGCGGGATTCGTTGTAGCAATGAAAGAAGGCCGCATAGAAAGTCAGGGCACTGTTTCTGAAGCTCTCGGCAAGGATCCTGCTCTGGCGGACGAGGAGAGGAAAGAACAACAAGCCATCAAGAAAGCTGGCGAAGAGGTGGACGAGCACCCTGCTGCTGCAGAAAGCAAGTCTGATGGAAAACTCATTGTGGCTGAGGAAATAATGGAAGGGCATGTCAGTTGGTCCGCAGGTTCGTGCATCGCCTACTATAAAGTCGCGCTCTGAATTTTGCATAGTCAAGATGTACTTGACGAGCATGGGCGGCCAGTACTCTTGGACTTTCTTTTTGGCATTCATTTCCGCCATGTTCGTCACTGAAATCCTCAACGCGTTCTATACTTGGTTTTTGGGATACTGGGCATCACAGTACGAAACTCATGATCCTGAGTCAGTCAGCGTTTTCCAGTGAGTAGTGTTCTCTGCAAATTGACCAAGTGCTTCTGACTAAGTGACTGCTCTCTCAAGTTATATCGGCATCTACTGTGCGTTACAGGAAATTTAGAAATTTAGCGCCTTACCTGATCCTTTCTGGTAGGTTTGATCGTGGCGACTGCCGTTGTGGTTTACTCGTCCGGCGTCTTCATTTACATTTTTGGAACTATCCGCGCTTCCCGAGCAATCCACCACCGGCTCATCACATCAATTTTCGGTACGACCTTGAGGTAATCGTCCAAGCACTGAAACGTTTTGAGTCTCTGCGCTCACACCTTTAACTGGTACAGATGGCTAGACACAACTCCTACTTCTCGCGTTATCACGAGATGCACTCAAGATATCCGTGCAGGTACGCGAGCTCTTTCGTCCGAATTGTCCTTGAAACTGACCCGTCCAACGCAGTGGACGGACCAGTGGCAATGTGGCTACAAGCCGTCTCTGAAATATCAATGATGATGTTAATGAAATACATCGCTGTTCTAGTGTTCAGCCCAATATTCTTCTTCCCTGGGATGGTCGTTCTCCTTCTCGGAGGTGCTTGCGGACAAGTCTACATCAAAGCTCAGCTATCGGTCAAGCGGGAGATGTCGAATGCTAGAGCACCTGTTCTCGCGCAGTATGTTGTTCT